CCCCCCCCCGCCACAGGTACAGTGTTTAGAAAGCATCTGGCACATTTTATTCATTTGTTCTCATCTTGCTGCATTTATTCCAAGCACCTTTCAGAGTCTGGTGCTGTTTTGCCGATGGAAAGACAGGCACAGGTGGGCTGAGTAAGAAATAAGGGGTCCTAATCACCGTATAACCCACTGTGTGGAAGACAAACACTTGCTGTATGGAGTGGCTGTCCCACACGTTACCAGTGTGCATAGCAAGTCTTCCAGTTGTGGCAGTTGGCCTCCACGTTTTTTCTGAGGGAGAACCACACCATTCCTTACACTCACTGAAGACCTAGCACAGTTTGACTCCAGCAAGGGCGCACTGAAACAGTGGGTATCTCCTTTCTCATCCCTTCTTCTCTCTTCTTCTTTGCAGAAACACTGTGCACCTGTACTGGCTAAGCTGCACCCCCCGCCTGACAATCAGGATGCCTATCGGGCAGAATTTGGGTCCCTCGGGCCGCTTCTCTGCTCCCATGTGGTCAAGGCCCGGGCCCAAGCTGCTCTGCAGGCACAACAGGTCAACAGGACCACACTGACCATCACACAGGTCAGCGGCTATGGGGGGAGGGAGAGAAGATGAAGGAGGAGGCATGGGTGCGACATGGCCATGGTGCCAATGACCCAGGGACGCACAGGCCCTGAGGCGGCAGTCTCTGGGAGCCTGGGGCCCCTCGGTGAAGGATGCCCCAACCCTAGAGAGAACTACCAAGGAAGAGCAAGAGCACGAGCAACACGTCTCCATTCAGGCCCTTCCTTTTTCTAGATGCTGACGTTTTCTTCTTGCCTCATTCCCCCACAGCCCCGGCCCACGCTGACCCTCTCTCAGGCCCCTCAGTCTGGCCCTCGGACCCCTGGCTTGCTGAAGGTCCCTGGCTCCATTGCACTGCCTGTCCAGACACTGGTGTCTGCGAGAGCTGCTGCCCCCCCTCAGCCTTCCCCTCCTCCGACCAAGTTTATTGTAATGTCATCCTCCAGCGCCTCATCCACCCAGCAGGTATGTAGCACCTGGGACTTAGGATGCGAGGAGCACCCTGAGCGGCCTGGGTCATCTCAGAGTAGATCCCAGTCCCCGCCAGGCCCAAAGCCAGGAGATGGAAGGGCCATTTGCCAGCACTTTGTAAAGTACCAAGTTGGCAATAATTTACAGGATCCTCAAGTTGGAAACCCTTCACGGGGTGTCTTCCTTTCTCCTCCAGGTCCTGTCCCTCAGCACCTCAGCTCCTGGCTCAGGCTCCACCACTACCTCTCCTGTCACTACCACAGTGCCCAGTGTGCAGCCCATTGTCAAGCTGGTCTCCACCGCCTCTACTGCACCCCCCAGCACGGCCCCCTCTGGGCCTGGCAGTGTCCAGAAGTACATCGTGGTCTCGCTGCCCCCAACAGGAGATGGCAAAGGAGGCCCTCCCTCCCATCCTTCTCCAGTCCCTCCCTCCTCATCTTCCCCCTCTCCACTTGGGGGCAGTGCCCTCTGTGGGGGGAAACAGGAAGCTGGGGACAGCCCTCCAGCTCCAGGGACTCCCAAGGCAAATGGTTCCCAGCCCCCTGGACCTGGCTCCCCTCAGCCTGCTCCGTGATAACATCATCCATCTGCCGACCTCTCCCATGGATTCCTATGCTCACGCACGCAAAGGAGGTGGAAGAAAGAGTAGGCTGCTTACCCACATGACTTTCTTTTTAGATACTGTACAGTCAGTTCCTCAGAATAAAAGTTGATTTGTAAGTTCTGAGCCTTCCTGTGTCAGATACCACAGAAGGGGCAAGTCTCTGGACCCCTATGGGCCTCTCAAGACTCAGGAGTCCTCTGCTCACATCCAGAGCCACAGGCCACGATGCCAAGAAAGCAAATACTGTCCTCTTCCCACTTGACTGCCTTCTGCCTTTGCTGCCATGTTCTGGTTTGGGAAGCCTCAGATCCGAATGATGTAGGCCTCGCTGTGGCTGAGATGGCGCACCCACTTGTGGGGGTTGGTGTTGCCACTGGGCCTGAAGGTCAGCCTGAGGAAGCGAACCTGGAGGCCGGAGCACGTGTGCCGGGGAAGTTCAAAGGAGAGGCTTGCGGGTCCCAGCCCCAGTGGAGGGGCTGAGGTGGAAGTCCCATGGCTGGGGGGTCCTGGTAGGCTGGGAACATCCATCTGTGAGGAAAGAGGGAGGGAGCAGGGCAGCAGCTGCACTAGGAAGATGATATGGCTGGGTTTGGGGGGCACAAGTGAAGTTAGGATGGGTACAAGAGGGTCAACGGGATACCTGGAAAAGGCCTGAGAGTTGAGAGCCTCCCTGTATCCGGGGCAGGTCCCAGTGAAGGGCTCCCTCCCCTAGTTCTGCCTTCTGCTCTGGGCTGCTCAGCTCCTGAGACAGGCTGGAGAGGGAAGGTGCGGGGTTCAGGTGGCGCCTGCCTTAGCAGAGCACAATCTGTCCCCCAGGGAAGCTCCCTGGGGAGCTGGCACTAACCTGACCACCCCTCGTGGCAGTGGAAGGTGCAGTCGGATGTTGACAGCTTGGCTACAAAGAAAGGAATTGGTTAGGAAGGCAGAGTCCCTTGTCCCTGTTCCTCTTTAATGTCACAATGGAAGTTCAGTACAGGTGCGTAACACCTCCTAAGGGCTAGAGCCTCTCAACTGGATTCAGATTCTGAGGCTGATGGATATAGTTGAAGGAGTAAGTGGCAGGTTCCTGGCTCTGACTTTGGCCCAGTCTTGTGTCCCACATAGCTGAACCAGGCCTTGGCTGGCCCCCACCCTTACCTCTTTGGGGACAAGTCACACCGTAACTTCAGGTAAACCTGGAGCCTGGATAAGAAGGCAAAATACTGTTATTTAGGCCAGATCCTACTGGCATCTTACCATCACTCACCCCGGGCCTCCATGTGAGGCTGTGCAGAATATACCCCAAGAAGGAACAGGGCCAATGTTCAGCCCAATGCCACTGGTCAAGTCTTTTTTCAATTGATGCCCTGTCACCGATACCACCACCCTTCCATAGTAAGTCCTGGTAACATCTATGTCTTGGCTTGGATTGGTTTCCAGAATGGTTCTAGAACATAAGAAATGGTCTCACCGGCCTGAGCCTCGGTCCCACTGCACAGAGGGAAACAGCCGGAAAGGGAGTGGGGAGGGGAGGTCATCAGACAGTTGGTACCGCATCACAGTCAGCTGGGACCAGAGAGGAATGAAGTCAGCTTAGTCTCACGTTTCCACTGCCTCCCTTCCCTATGGTGGTTACAGTATGCTAGGCCACCCTGCTGCTGACCTCGCCCTGGGGTGGCTGCAAGCGGAGGATCCGATGAGTCTCAAACTCATCCAGGTTTACCGAGCTGTGAAATGAGACTTCATCAACCCGAATTCCTGGCCCATAACCTGCAAAGAGAGAGACTCCTCTCCCGATCCATGCTTTGGGAGAGAATGGCTGGGGTAGGGAGGTCTCATCTCTAATTTTTCTCCAATTTTCCTCCATGAAACTTGCCTCTGACCTACCCTAGGTAGAAAGACCAGTTTTCTCCTCACCTCTCAGTTCTGATTTCCCTACACAAAATTCTTCTGTCAAGCCGATGCGCATCTCTGTTGGAGCAAAGAACATCAGGAAAGGTCAGCAAACACCACTACACATGGCATCCTGTCCCAAACCCAACACTAGGTCCTCACCAGAGCCACTGGGAAGGAAGCTCTTGAGCCGGAGCTCTCCTTGCACATCCACCTTCAGTGGTGATCCCTGGAAGTGGCAGGGAGGTTAGTGCCCAGTCATAACCCCCACCCCCGACCCATTTTCCAAGTACCATTTGTCTTTAGCTCTGGGGTTGGGAGCCCACACTTACATCAGATGCTATCAGTACAGACAGTCTCTCGACCACATCCAAAAAAACTTCATTTTTTTGGCTCTGAGAAAAAAGGGGGATTTGGATTGTGGAGGCTAAAGACCTGCATTCTAAAATGGACAGAGAGAAAGAATAGTGTAATTGAAGTAGAATCCTGGGACATGGGTGGAAGATGGGGTACCGACGTCTAGAGGAGTGGAAAGATAAGCCAGGATCTTGGACTCTGGTGTCCCAGAAAAAGTCTAAAAGTCTGACCTCATGGATCCCTCCCTACCTGGTCAGAGCGACTGGAAAGAACTGGGCGGCTGGCCGCACTGCTGGGGGCCACTTTGCTCTGCTGTGTCTCTGCTCCAAACTGTAAAACACCCAAAGCAACCAACCCTCAGCTCTGAAGCATCCAGGCAGCCTGCCTTCTCCATCCTCTTTCCCTGCTACTGACCAAGCCAACACTACTGAGATCAAAGAGGCTAAAGGGCTTGCTGACTACAGCTTCCGTCTGGATGAAGTTTCTCAGCATCTCCGTGGATGTGGTCTGAACATAGCCATAGTCCTAGTGGTGAGAAGGAAGGGGAAAAGTGAAAATGAATGGATTTAACCTCCCAACCACAAGATCCCACAGTAGAAGAGTGGACATTATCTAATGGGGGAACAGGAGACAAGAAAGGAAAGTCTTTGGTCATTACCAGTACTTCATCCAAGAGTTCATAGACAAGAGCCACGTTTCGGGAAATGGTTCCCTCACTGAGGGAGCCACAGTAGTCACCCAGGAGGGTAGCTAACCTGAGGAAATAGGGCAAAGTGTGGACACCTCCTCCACCTCCTCTCAGACCCCCTCAGGGTCCAGCCCAGCCCTCCTCACCTGGAGAGCAGCTCTAGCAGGCTGAAGGGAGAAACGTTTTCTGAAGTCGTAGCTACCAAATAGAGGCCACTGTGTCTGATGTGAATGAAATGACGGTCATCGTGGTACTGAGGCGAGGGTGGGGGGAGGTGTTAGAAAAGGGTTATAGTAATCAAAGGTCCTGAAGATTCCAAATTGTACCTTAATTGTCTCCTGCTAGACACATAGTAGCATTGTGGCTTTGGGCGATCTGTGAAACCCCCTGAAGGCCAGGTTTCCTAATGCGCAAAGGTCGTTAATAGCAGTACCAACTCTATAGTTCTTGAGCATTGAGCCAGACAAGAGGCTGCACCCAGTGTAGTCAGCGCTTTCGTTAATTGTATTTGGAGGACGATTACCACTCAATAGAAGGTTCCCAAGAAAAAAGCCCTTGAAAGGGAAGAGGGACCCACCCTTCAACCTCCCCGCCGCACCTTCCCGCACCAGTGGTTACCATGACAACCGGGGACTCGTCTCCAGACAGTCCCGTCAGCTTCCGGTAGAAGAGCTCTGCCACATCCAGGCCACCACTATCCCCGCGGACTGGCCAGGTGGAAGGACAGTTAAGGAGCGGGTGACCCAAATGGGCTCTGGGCTCATCTCCCAACAAGCCGCTCTATCCCGCCCCGTGGAATAAGGATACAGTCTTTGTAGATGAGCGGGTCTCCCTTGGAGGACAGGATGAAGAACTGGGAAATCATGGCTGTTCCGGAGAGTACACCAGCGGACAATGAAAGCAGGGCCGGACCAATCTCAACGTCCCGGAACAAAAGGACGCGGGTGGGCTGGCCCTTTAAGACCAACCCGCCCCCCGCCCCGCTCGCGTCACCCGGGACCGCGGGAAACCCAGCTCCCGCCCCGCCCCTCTCGGCGATCCCTTCTCCACCTGCCCGCTGCCTTCGCGTCACTCAGCTCAGCCTTGCCCGGTGATTGGTCAAGGGCGGAGCTTGCGGCGGGTGGGCGGGGAGAAGGGCCATCCTTTTCGATTGGCCCGAGCTCAGCGTAGCGGGTCACATGGGAGGAGACGTTTCGCGCCAATTTCGGTTGGTTCTGCAGTCCTGTGCGTGGCCGTTTTGTGTTTCCTTGGAGCCGAACTAGTGCCCTCGCCAACTGCTGCCAAACGGTCACTGGCAGCGATGGCATTGAAGGACTACGCACTTGAGAAAGGTAAGGCTCTGCAAGCCTGGGAGGAGGGCTCTGCGCGGGAGGCCGCCTGGCTGACACCTGTTGGTGTGAGTTGGTGTCGGGGTTGGCGGCGGGCTCTGGGAAGAACGAGGTCAGAGATAGGGTTGGGCAGCGACGGGAGTGAGACAGATGGTGCCTGGGGACGCATGGGGGGCGTCGGGGTCGAGGAAGAGCTGGTAGTCTTGCCCGGGAAAGTTTTTGGGGTCCGGGAGGAGGGAGATGGCTGGGAGCTGCAGGCTGGAAGGGTCGTGCCCGGAAGAGAATGTGCGCTGGGTCGTGGTCGTCTAAGGGCTCTCAGCCTCGGGGATGAGAACTTTGGAACCGCTTCCCTCCTGGTATTAGGAGACTCGCCTGTTCCCGCGTCCCGCCGAGGCGCGCCGAA